TATTTAAAAAGTTGCCTCTGGCTGACATCTGGAGTTTTGGCTTTGCAATATCTTAGTTGCAATATCTTAGTTGCACATTTTTAATGATCTTACCATCGTCTTCCCTTTAGAATCTCTGCTCCATTAAAAACCAAGTGTCAATACATTACACACGCATACAACCTAAATTCATCCTAGCGAAATAATTACCTGTAATTTATTACACTATAAGCAGTTCGTTATGATATGCTTGTTACGTATAATAATATTGAGGAACCAATAAAATGTGATATATGGTGCAGCCCGACTAAAAGCATTAAATGTTTTATGCAAAATAGCTGAAGCTCACTCAGAATGTCTGGACAGCATCTGAAAATATCAATATCCAAGTCTTACAAGAGATTTTCAATTGAATTCAAGTCTGGCCTTCAGCAGGGCAAAAGATGAAGAGTTTGAGTCGAGTCATTCCAGCCAAGTTCTAGTTGCAGTTTTAGAGCCATTTCTTCTAGGGTGGCACTGTGTTTAGTCATTTCACAGCCAACCAGTTCCCTGTCCCTGCTGATGAAAAGCATCTCCACATTATGAGGCTGCCACTACCATGTTTCACGTAGAGATTGTGTGTTTAATGTGAGCTGCGGCGCTAACAATCTGTCACATATATCCTGTTTATATCATAGCTCTGCAATAGACAAGCAACATGAACGCTTATGAATCACTTTGTCTTTTCACGTCATATAATGCAATCAGCCGAGATCATGGACATTTTGAGCTTTTTGCCAATACTCCTGCTTCAGCAGAATCATACGGGCATCACTTACAACTCAGCTTTCATCTGCTAAGAGTCATTTCCCATTGGGGAATCAGCAGCATTTAACTCTGTTTTCATTATGCATACTGTTCAAACTTTCCCAGTGACATAAATGCAAGTGATGGTGCTGCCCACTTTAGTTAGATTCAGCTGATCTCCCTTTTTCTCTGATCAGATGGACACTGGTCAGACTGAACCGCCAGTCCTGCTGTCTTTGCTTGTTGCTTTTTCTTTAAACCCAAGTTACTCTCTTATAGTTGATGGTGTTCACAGGTTTTTACAAGCTCCCAAGGTGGAGAAGGTGGAAAAATTTTATCAGATTTTTTAAAGACATTCCAGGCAATCATGGCGTGTAATGAAACATCAAGTTGACCTTAAAGGGGATACACTGTTTTTCATCTAAGCCAAAAAGATTGATCTTATTTTTGGTCAGAGGGCATTTTTTTATTTCCTGTCTTTATGATCCTGTTTGTTCTTCAAGGTTTTCAAACAAACTCTGAAGTCTTCTCCACTTCTAAGTAGATGATTTCTGAAGAGGATAAATGCATGGCACACTTGACATTTTATTCTACAGTTGTGTGAACACATTTAATTCCAATATAATACACAAAGTATGCGGTTGCAATGAGATAAACTGTTAAACGGTTAAATTTAAGATAAATATATATATAGTTTTTACAAATAACCATATGTAAATTGGTAGAATATATTGACAAAGTGTATACTTTTTTTCTGACAGAGTTATTTGTATTATTTGGTGCAGCATACTTTAATTTACTGCACTGAATAATTTATGGAATGATAGTGATACCCAGAAGGGCCTTGTTTTTTTTATTTATTATATTGCTTTTTCCATCCTATTGCACTTTTGTGCGGCTGTCTGAGAGACATTTTATCACATTTTATCTATAGGTTTGTCCTTCATAGTGACAGATGTGTCCAGATTGGTCATAAAAAGAGTTTAACGGCTCAGACACAATAATTTTTATCTCACCAAATTACAGTGTGACAACGGCACACTTGCTGTCCCCGTGTGGCCTGTTGCCCTTCAAGGTGAATTTCTTTTTAGGATACAGCAGAATAATAGTTTCTATGACTATTCTCTTTTGGAAAAGATCCGTGAAGGAAACATTGCAGGTAAAAGTAGGTTTCCTGGAATATACTGGATCTACTCTGAGAGTGGGAATGAAATATTAACTTTCTGCGACTTCTTACTTATCAACTTATCTCACATTTCATTTGTTTGATACCAGTGACATTTGAAAATGTTTGATATTTGCCTCATTATTCCACCACCACCACAATGTCTGGTTGGCAAGCCTGACCCTGTTTTCAGTCTGTATCTGAAAGTTTCATAGAATCCTTATTCTTTTTTGACTTTGGATTTTCTTCTAAATATTTTCCTGTAACCTAACTCACTGGTTTTGATGTTCAGTGCGTAATGTACCTGCATTTTATACCTAAATATTATTAAATTCACTGTTTTTACCCTGGCACACACTATGAGATTTAAAAAAAATAAATCTTGCAGACTTTGACATTTTACATTGTGCAAGTTCAATACGATAATGGTTTCTTTTACTGCTATACAATTTGGTGCTACAGAAGGATTACATTACAAAGGTTGTATACATATAAGCCCAACAATATATGAGAACCAAGTTATAGGTATTAATGTGCTTATTAGAGTCGGATGCTGGAAAGAGGGAGAAGGGATGTTGGAAAAAAAGACAGCTGGAGACATTTATATATCGGCGGTAGCAGCAGACTAACTACAAGATAGTGCAAGAAAACATCTGACTCTGCCTGATGTATATCATAGATCATGGTTGGGAGAGGGCTAAATGGATGGTTGCTATATCTGTCACAGTAATTGACCAAGTCACTGACTTAAGCTCAGGATTTTATTTTCAAATGAATGATACACAATAATTGCACCGTGTTTACCCTCCTTCGGGGGAAATTTTGCACAACTTTTATCTTGGGTTTAGTCTGTATGTTATTCTTCTGTTCAGATTAGCATCTTTGTGCTGTCTTTTCGCCTTCTCTTGATACTCGTAGAATTTCTGTTGGTATTTCCGTTCAATAAAATTTCTCCTTTTATTCATTTGGGCTTTGTGGCCTTAGACATTTTCTTGAAAGACTTTCTTCTAGTCATACTTCTAATGTACTTTCATATCTTTCTGGTTTTTATTCAGTGTAGTAGCACCAATTCAAACTAGTGTCTCTTCATTATTTGTCCAAAAGTCGCAGTCTTATATAGCTGGATGTAATCTTCAAAGCTCATTGTATAATGACATCCTTAACTGTACTTGCATATCTTTATCCTCTCATTAACTTAAATATACAGACACAGACATGTTTGCTTGTACCCTTGAAACTTATTGAAACAATGCTTGATTGCCTCAAAAAGTCATCCTCTATGCCTTCATTCCTTTAGCGTGTGACAGCAAAAAACATATACATTTTTCAACAATGATATATATATATATATATATATGTATATATATGGTTCATTGATATATATATCAATGAACCATGAACTGTTTTGTTAGTGCCCCAAAAGAGACAATTAATTCTTGTAGCAAAGTCATTTTTCAAATTATGTGTTAAGTCTACCTTCATCCACATGTATGTCTATGAAATAAACATCATGCTGTATTGTGTGGCGTTTTTGTATGCACCACTCTGAACAAGCAAATGTGAAAGATTTTGGATAGTTAATAATAATAGATTACAGACAATTATGCTAAAGGTAGAGGCTGGAATACCCTAATCGAGCAATTGGAATACCCTAATCGAGCAATTTTATGTTTCTGTGACCACAACTGCCAATATAGTTAAATGTAGAAGGTTCATGGGACTGTAAGCAACTCCCCAAAAGGTGTGGACAATAGGAAATTTTACTACAGTTTTGTCAGACTTATAGAAATAGATCTAAGGAAACCATCCAAAAACAATTACAATTCAAACTGAAGTGCAAGTTCAAGGTACATGACATCTGATTGAAAAAAATCATTCACATTTTAATTCTTTATTGGCTATATTTTTAAGATCCAGAAGGCTCTACTATAAATTGAAACATGCCAAACAAAACAGCTAGACTGGACTTAATAAAAATAAGTCCAAAAGTCTCTGGGAAAACAAAAACACAAGAGCGCCAATATTTTATTTTTTTCCCTTTGTTGTTTGCAGTGTTGCATTTTCATTTCTGTATCACAATGACCTGGTGTGTAAATAAATGACGGTAAAATGGTAAATGTGAATCTTTGATCTCGGACAATTACAAATTGCATTTCTTCAAAATTTTAGCCATAGTTTACAACAGATGTAAACTAGATGGCAACTAGTGACAACTAGTCATGTTGTCAGTGTTACAGAGACAATATGACTAGTTAACTGGACTGTCTTGTCAGTACACAATGAAACCAGGACATGTCATACAGAGGCAATGACATGTTCAATGACACAAACATCTATCTTTTGAGAGATGAACTTAAGATTTTGAGAAAGAGTCTAGTTTGTGCAGGTAGTCCACTGTGTTTGTTGTCTGTACAAATAGTTTTAAGAAATGCACTTATTCTTTTGCAAATGTCGAGGATGATTTGAGAAACGTACCAAAGCGCCTCAGAAAATCTGTTGTACCGCTGTCTGTCACGAGTTCAGTTTTGAAGGTTTCTTACGCAGGGAGTATGTATAGATAGAGTCTTGTTTTTCATTTTTAGTGCTAGGAGAGTTATTAGCTAGTTTCCCACTCCGTTCTCCATTTCTAATGCCATCTTCAAACCGGACACAGTTTGAGCAAACAGGGGTTCAAACTATCAACATATTGGCATTGACTTTCTCTGTGTGAAGGTCTCATTTTATTATGGCGAAATACAGATCATTAGTTGCATTTCACCATACAACTACTGTACAACTGGTGGTGATTGTGGCAAAACAATGCAGCGGCATAAACTGTATGAGGTCCAGTTGAACGTTTGCCAATTTTAAGTTATTTAAAATATAAAACGTATTTTGTGTTTGTTGTATAAGGGTACCACAAATTTGTCCATGTCTGTAAATCACTTTTGATCTCTTTATATGTGGTGAGATGGGAGGAACTAACAAATTTATGGGTTTTCAGCAGCTGTTTATCAGGCTACTGCTTTCCTTAAGATATCAAACATTAAAAAGTCTATATGGAATATGATGCAGTGGCAGGGGACATTACCATGATTGTTGTCACAACAACCGTCCTATTCTCCGTCAGTGAGCCTTCACTGGAAAGACCATTTCCATCCTGTTCCAACACAAGCTTGTCGATGTCGTTCCAGTAGCCAATCTGAGGAGGCCAAAGGAGAGCACAACTCTTTCAGAAATTGACTAAACCTAGTGCAAACCTTAAGGAAAATTAATGTGGGAGGACAGAAAGAAAAGTGAACAACAAAAGTTAGCCATTCGATTTGCTCCTGTAAATTTCCCATTAGAGCAATAGACGATATTAAAAGTGAGCCAAAAGTTTCCAATAACTGCACATTGCTGCCTAAGGGATAATTACATAGCTTGAATATCATGTAATTTTGTTATTTTATCTTCTACACGTGTGTTTGTTTTAATAAAGATAATTTATAGGAAATGTCAGCTTCAGTACTGTCCTCCTACGTTTTGCTGTGAGGAAGACAGATTTTGTTCAAATTTTTATTAGTTTGAAAATTGTAAACTTTTTATATTCCCTGGTTGACTGTAAGGTATAAACATAAGCTCCAAAATCCTCATGAAGCCCATCCTGCGATGAATATTTAGATTAGAATGATTTTCCATCTCAGTAGAACAGGTAATCATGAAGGACTATTAGAATAAAATATTGGCCTTCAGGTGAAAAATGAGCACATTAAATTCTGCAGAAATTATTAGGAAACATAAATTAATATGTAAAAGTCAACTTCTTTTTACTACGTTTGTTCTAAAAAGACCTTGCCGTCTTAATTTTTTTTTAAACAAAGATTGATATGATGATAATGTATATGTCTAGAAGGCAAACAGAACAAAACACAGAACAAAACAATGCATTTAACTGTTTTAAACTGAGAGCCTACCTTTAGCGGTCCATTGCTTTTCAGTTCAAATACGGCCATAGTGTAATTGATCCTCCGACCGTAGTGATCAAACTGAATATTTCCAGTAAGACCCTGAATGCGCACCTAGATTTAAAGCAGAAATAAAGGTAGGAACTCGTAATAGCAAAATAATATCTTACAAAATGAAACATTTGAACACATGACATTTCTCTGACGGCTGTTGGATTTCACACGTTCACTTTATTAACATAAAATTATTTTTTATTTAGCAGCATAATCTCATACAAAAAAATCTTAGAAACAAATCTAACCTTTAATTTAAATACAAGTATGGATACAATTCTCTGAATGTGTGAGAAATGACAATATGCAAACAAAGAAAGGTATATTTGTGTTGATGTTATTTTCTTGCACGCGTTCCTTCTTGAATAAAGGGCTAAAACTAATCTTGCTATAAATTACACTGAGGGCACTAATTATAAAGGTAGATTGACAAACAAGGCTGAACCAGGAACCCCATGCTTTTCTTGGCCTGGGTTTCCAAAACACAGTGATGATGAGGAATAAAGGAAACACTTTCATTGACAGAAATGGACAAAGATAAAATGTTTTCTAAAGGTTAATGAGACGGTAATTGTAAGGCTTTGTCTCATTTTTAGATATGATGGAGGCTTCAGGCAGAAAACACCCCCCTGTCAGTCTGCAACAAAAAATAAATGTGTAGGACGGAACCACATGTCTGATGTTCAGTTTGGTGGATGAACTGCGATGCTGTTTGCCTGTTTTTTTTCCAAATCCCTGTGAAGTATTTTAAACGCATATTACACAGAAAAGCATTTTTTTCTTCCAAAAAAAGAAAAGAAAAAGCTGGTTTGATTCACGGCGGCAGCCAAAGTCCAAACAAAAACCACTAAGCTTCAGCATCGGGATCAGAGCCAGGGAGAGCAGCTGCAACTGTGCTCAAAGCCAGCAGCTGGATCCTATCACAGATCCGATTTTTAAATAGAGCAGTGAGAAAAAATAAAAGGAATCACATGAATGGTCCCATTTTCATTCTCCTTTTTTCATCCTATATGTGACGTTCCGAGATGCACCCAAAATATTTAAACTTCTTAAGATCTGAAGTGTCTTTTGGATATCAAAATGGTCATGCATGTGACCAGGGAAAGATCTTAATGACTCCATACATATAAGAAGTAAAAGGCCTGTGTCTCTTGACTTTTACCTGTTTACAATTAAACAAATTGTCCCAACCTGTTTTAGTGCTCGCTCCATATCTATCCCTTGGTTCCAGGGAGCCGCCGGATTAGCAAGGCAGTCCCCAGCATTGCCACGGCGGCTGATGTCAATTTTCTGTCGGCGTAGGGTGCGGAAGGCCTCGGCCATTACAAGAACACCATCATACGTTAGAGATGAGGTATACTGGGAATATCAAAAGAGCACAGAGAGGGGGGGAAAAAATATCTTTAGGTGTTTTGTGTTGACTTTGTTTGTTGTTCAGCTGTAAATAAGCTAATACATTTTCAAGAACATTAAGAAAAAATACAAAAAAAATTAAAATAGAATTCAGTACAATCGTAAATTTACAATAAAAATTATGTGCTTTGAACTTCTTTTCACGTTACAACCTAAAACCTCAAAACATCTTACGCATCTTGTAATCTTGTGACATCCGTTTACATTTTTCTTTCTTTCACAATTAGGACGTCTACATTTATGAGTTACTGTGTAGCTCCTCAGGTCTTCTGTTCTGTTCTGGTCTGCATCCTCAGAACCAGACCCAAACAAGGAGAAGCAGCATTCAGCTTCCATGCACCACAAATCCGGAACTAGCTTCCAGTAAATATTTCACCCACCTGTCCAGGTGGGTCAGAGGTCAGACTGTCCCAGGGCAGCTGTGGCTACAAAGTAGCTTACCATCATCAGTGTGTGTTTGTGCATGAATGTCTTATGAACAAGGACACCCATGTTCAAGAATGACAGAGTGTAGAGTGAACCACACTGTGGTCCTCTGGACTTGATAAAGCACTATACAATCACAGTCCATTTACCATTCACATTGATCAACGAAGTCATTGCAGAAAGGCGACAGAGTTAACGGAAACAGTTACACGGATTCTGTTGCACAGCCAGAATACACATGGACTCTCAGTGCTGCGCAGACAGAGGCAGTCAAACACACAGCAGGCTCTCTTCACATCACGGTGGAAACAAGGAAAAGATGAAAGTGAGGAAAAAAGACTAAAGTCAGCTGAGATCCTCTCTGCCTCTCTGTGGGTAGTTTCTCTCACTGACTGACATCCCTTGATTTTTACTTTACTGTGTGTACTTTGGAGGGCTCCGCTACCATGTTGGCCTATTTTCATGTGCTCTGTTTGAAACTGAAGAGGACCTTAAGAAAGTGACTGACAAATGATGACTATGGAGAGGAAACATCTAGACTGGGGATAGTAGCACACTGTCTTTGCTGTTCCTGTCAGTGGCAGAACAGAAAAACCTTTGGGACAGGGAGAATAGTCCTTACCTAAGACTAGACAAGGATCTGCAGTCAGAGCTCTGCTTTTAGCTATAATCAGTCAACTTAATGTATGTCATACTTGTGACAAAAAAAGCAAAATGGTACAATTTCTAGGAAGTAAAGCCACTATCTAACCATTTTAGTTTGCATTCGACTGTATTTGCTTCATGAGTCCCAATGGGAATTGCACATTTTTGTTCTCTGAGACAAGTTAACTAAGACAAGAAATTTATAGTCTCATTTAGTAATTTGAAGCAAAGATACAGATAATTTTTATAACATATTACACAAGCCTGCATGCACACAAATCACATCTCAAGACATATAAGCAGTTTATTTGATTGTTTAAAGTAGCTCAACAAAATCTAGTCTACACCACATAGTAAAAAAAAAGTTAGAGATGCTGACATTACCACATCAGACTTTTACTGGGTCTGAAACTTTCTGCTTTTGGCCCAAGGCAAACTGAGTTCAGGTTTAACGCAGCAGCTTCAAAGCCAGGGGCAATTTGAAGGCAACTGTTGTCACTAGAGGGTTTTCTGTATTTATGTTCAACCAAATTTGTTTAGTTTGCATTTGCAGAGCGATGGAATGAATATTTTTTCTGGGCATGGTGAAGTATTAAACCTTTGCAGTTGTTTGTAGTTATCAAACAAATTGCAAGTCTTTTTTGTTAATTTAACTCTGATGATTGTGTTCATCTGTTACCATCCATCACAATTTATTTACCTCTGTTAGTGCACAAAATATTGTTTTACTTTAACAGTGCAAATTATAGAGTCAGCACTGGCAAATGATAATTAATGTGGTAAATGAGAGTGATTATTAGTTGATTAACAATAGCCAGCAGTGACAAAAACATTTCAAACACAAATTATCACCATGGAATATCAGCCAACATAAAAGCAAAGAACATGGGTAAAAAATGGATCACCTGCCTGAAAAGTCACTGATTTACAAAGAAACTTCACACATTTATAGCCGCAGCACACATTTATTGTTTTGGACGCAACTTGACGCATTAATCTTTGATTTAATGACTAAGCACACAATGTAATTATGACAAAAACCATCATAAAGAAGCACATGTTCTGCTTATACCATACTGTAGCATTCAGCTGCAGCCACAAGCATTTTTCCATATCACATTTTTCCAGACGCTGTTTAAGTTTTGGAAGTGGAATAAACTCTACCCTGGTGCAGTGTGTCTGTTTCCCACTGATCATGTTTAATCATACTTTCTGATTACTTTTCACCAGATCTGTATGACCACATCGCCTTGACAATTGGTCAGTTGCTGACAAACCCCTGGATTGATCGACAGGTGTAACAATGTCAATTCTGTACATTTTTATTTAAAAAAAAGGTAAATAAAAGCTATTCTGAAGTATTTTTAATGAGTAAGTGGACATGTTCCCAATTAAATGCATTTCCACTTGACTCCCGGTCACCAGCCTGTCTAAATTGGTCTGTAATAGAAAAGGGACAAAAAGAAAGAAGCTATCGCCGTCTAAATATAGAAATACTGATGGGGGGAGAAAGAAATGTGACTTAATGTGACTTTTTTTTTTTTTAAGAAAACATGATGCTTTATTGGTGAAGTTATAAAATTATGCAGAAAAAAAAGTATATGAAAAGAAACACTTACATCCTGCTGCAATTAGACACAAGGTAAAAATGCATCTGACAAAAGAACAACTAAATAATTTTAAATCCAAATCTTCCACAGGTATCAAAAACGTTGGTGTTAACTGTAACTATTGTTAACAGAAGGATGCCACACCAACAGTTTGATTCATTCTGTGACATAGACAGCCTGAATTATGATTATGGCTGTGTGGCTGCCTGTTATAATCAGGTTATTTGAACACTGCATTTTATTTTATATACGTTTAATTACCTTAGGTGGACTTTCAGACCCAGGATATTCTCGCTGGTCCAGTTTGTTCCACCTCTGCATGAGCTTTATGACAATATCTTTGCTGAAGTCCACCAACTGGAAACCAGTCACGTTGGCGCCACCATGCATAAATCTTTCCAGGGAGATGTCCTTAAATCCCTGAGAGAAAATAAAAGTAAGAATCAATAAAGGAAGAAAAAAAATTAAATATCACACAGTTAAGATGATGAAAAGTTCATTCTCACGCACAAACTCTCTAGATTATTTTCATGACAGATTATTCTAGTGAATTCCACAACTCCAATTGTGAGCATATGCAAGGAGACACTTCACTGTAAAGAGGATGTAAATCAATTTGGGACAGAGCTAAAGACACTGGCAGACTCTAAAGACATGTAAGCATTATCCAGGGTTGATGAATGCTAATGGTTAGACGGTGTGAAAGCCTATTTAGCCTTCAATATACTCAAAGGGCCTTTTTTCACTGTCACAGAGAAAAATACCATTGAACAGATTTCAGGGATTAGGCTTGAAGTCATATTTTATTTCTCGATGCAGGCTGCCAAAAGCTCCTGACAGTTATGACCTTGTCAAGAAAAGACACATGAAAATGTATTAGGCACATAAAAAGCAGTGAAGTTTTTTTTTTTTTTTTTTTTCAAAAGACCATAATCAAATTATGCAAAATCAGAGGCAGTAAAAATAAAGTGCACCTTTAAAAGGACATTGAGTTTATTACTGAGGTGTATTGTAATATCATTATGTGAGTATTATATATTTAGATAAACTCTAAAAGCAAAATTTAAAGTTTGTTTTGTCTCTAGTGGAACAAGTGGAAATGAAATAATAGGATAAAGCTTAACAAAAGGTCAAGACTTTCCATCCAGCACAATGGATAAAACGATTGTAAATTATTGTAACATAAAGAAGAAGCAAACGCCTCAAAATGTCAAAGCTTATGTTTTCAAGATTTCATCAGATATTTTTTATATCCTGGACACATTGTGAGTTCATCAAAGGGGACCAGAGAGATTCACAGAAAAAAAGGGCAAATTAGAGCAATAATTTACCCTAAAAGTCATTATTCTGGATTATTGGTGTACTTGATTAGCACCCAAACAAAGGGGAGACCATGCAAAACCCTCTGCAGAAAAACCCCAGACCTGAATTCAAACCCAGCACCGTCTTCCTGCAAGACGGCAATACTTTTTTTTGCTTGAAAAATTGTGTGTATTCTTAGTTAAAAGAGAACATGCAGTAGCTGTAAATGTTGATGGTCACCTTCTATGGAATTACAAAAAAAAAGAAAAAAAAACATGGATAAAACAGGACAGATTTGATTTTTCTCCTAACATTTGACTTTTTAAAGAAGATTTTAATCTGTCCAGTTTCCAATCGGTTGTGCTGTGGGGACAATCGTGTACCATTCTTAAACAGTAGCAGCACAGAATCATTGAGTGTACTGCAAGTGGCTCTTGAGCTGCACTTTGGTCTCCCTTGATTGAGATGCCAAATCTGAATAAAAGGTGTCAGGCACAGAAAAGATACATGGCTGGGGCACTTTTCGTGCAAGAAACACTCTTGCATTATTATCTGGTTTACGACTCAATGGATGCAACAGACATTAACATGATCTCAGCTCTCTGGGCAAAAAGGCAAATGTCCCATAAACATAGATTCACTTCCCTGATTTGAATCCACTAAGAAGGTCTGTTTTTATTTTTTTCCTCCAGCAATACATGCAAGATAAACAAGTCTTGTAATTCAGCTTTAAAGATGCAAAGCTTTGTCTTCCTAATGTTTGTGTGTCAGATACCTGAGGCAAGATGCATAAATAACACAGGAACATAAAAAATACAGAAAAAAAACAGATCTCTCTATTCCTGCATAAAATGTTTTTTTATGAAAAATAAATGTGCAGTGAGAGTGCAGCATCATCAGACTGTTGTTCAAAACAACCCCAAAACATGCTTGTTTTACAGTTTAAGTATAACATGATAATGTGACAATGGAAGAAAAATTTAAAATGAAACTAATATTTCTATGTTCTCCTGTATACAATCTTCAGTTTGAAGATTTCATGCTCCAGCTATGTTCAATATATAATACTCACATAAAAGCATGGAAAATAATATATTTAAAAATTAATGTTTCTGTGGAACATGATCTATGAAACCACAAATAAAGGTCAATGGACCCAACTTACAAACACACACATTTTTCTTTTTTCAATCTTTGCAGGGTATTTTGTAAAGGCCATACCTAATAATAACATCAAAATAGAAGAGGGTGGTTAGCACTAACGGGTAACTGGAAGAGGTTTACTGGTGGGTTTCTACACAAGATATAATTATTTTATAGTTCCACTTCATGTCTGCTCAATAGTTTTTGCACTGCAATCTAAATACAGACAATATATTTCCTGATTTCCTTTTCCCAATTTTTTATGAGTTAGCATAATTTGCACGACAGTACTGTTTGCTCAAGATTCAAAACCTTTAAAAACCCACTTCCTGTCCATGTGATCAACTAGATAAACAGCTAAAACTCCCTGACTATTGAACTTTTCTCCGAGTGGCATTTGACTTGTAAGCAGATGTGAATTTCAGTTACGTTAGACAGTGTGAGGGCACAATTTATTGTTCAAACAGGACAAAGATCATAAACACCAAACTAAATGTGGTATTGGAATGAACAAAGCAGGCCAACAGGAAGCTTCTACAATTAAAATGTATGGATGTTAAGTGTAATAAAGTAAATTGAAGTAAAAACAATATAATTGTTCCATGCACTTCCACAGAAACTTTTAATTACGTGAATTCACAATTTCTGTTGAAAATGTGTTTAAAACATGCTTAAGATCTCAGTACGTGCCAGATAAACTAATTTAAATGGTCAGGTATTCAGCCAGAAGTATGTTTGCAGCTTGTTGACAACAACAAAAAGCATGTTTTCCCCATATTTTGGTTTGAACATTTCGCTTGTAATCACCATATGGATTAGAGTCCATAAAAAATGTAAACTTTGAATGAAACAAATCATTAAAGCCTCAAAATTAAAGCCCAGCAATGACAAGACATTGTACATGTCTGTAGCTAAAAGTGGACATCCATGATGCACATTTAATTTCATGAGAGCTGAGGTTAAGAAAGAGAGGTATAAAAGAAAATGCTATATGAAGGTGGCACAAAGAACAACACAGAATTTCATGTTTCTGGGCCATGGTGTCTGACCTTGTCAAAAAACAATCCATCATGCAGCTGGTTATCAAAACTGCTTGCAAGTAATGGACTGAACTTGTCTCAGTAAAACAAAAATAATACTTACCAGGTTTGCTATGATGTAATGGTAACCTTTAACATGCTTCCCCACACTGACAGCCTAGAAAAAGAAAACAAGAATATATCAATATTTCTTTTGTGAATGCAATGTGTAAAACTGCACATTTGATTTGGAGGTAGGACAATAAATATAAATCATTCTTTTTCTAACCATTTATGAAACTCATTACAGCCAGAAAATGTAACTTCACAGGTTTGTGCTACAACTCAGTCATCAATACATGGTCATTTAACTTTATTTCCTAATTTGCTTTTAAAATACCCAGTAAATTAACTCAAAAATTAAACTATATTAGCATTTTGCAAGAGGGAGAGGGACATGAAACGCTTTGGGTTTTTTTTATAACATAGAAGACGTGCAAATCTCTATTGATGTGATGCACAAACCTAATTAATAAACTGTTCACATTTCTTACTCCTCTCTAGTCTCACCCACACATATCAGCGGCAACATACTGACACACTCACACATGCACAGATCGCAGCTGGCAGGAACAGGAAAACAGAGCAGTCTCTGTCTCAGAGCAAGGATGCTCGCCAGTGCCGGTACTGCAGGATTGACTGTGAGGGGAGAGTGTTTGTGCATGTATCGTATCCCTGTCTCGGTACAAGTTAAAGTCAGTGTGTGTTTGTGTGTGAATGCGTGTGTGTGTGTGTGTGTGCGCATGTGCATGTGTGTGTGTGTGTGTGTGGATGCTCAGTCACTACTGAAGCCAATTAAAAAAACAGTCTATTTTTCTGTCTGATAGGGAGGCTGCTGCCAGTGTGTGTTTGTGCCTAAGGAATTAAAACCTAGAGCTGTGAATTGCATAAATAAAATACACTTTTCTAACATGAAGTTGGTTAACTTCCAGATTTCAGGTTAATTCTAAGTTAGTGGAGATTGTTTCTTTTGTGGTAGTCTGACTTTCAGCCAAATGATCTTAAAGCATTTTAGAAATTCAGTTTGGGAATTTCTGAAAACTGCTGTTATTCTTGTTTACTTTATTCACCATATTTTTTCCCTTCACTTAATTTTCAATCATTGTGCAGCACTCTACGGTAAGCCAACATTTATAGCAATGACTAATTATGAATGGTTTGTGTTTATAAGATGCTTCCATTGACTGTTTTTATGAATGCCTTATCTTTATGCATTTTTGGTAAAAAATAAAATAAATAATAATAAAAACAGACATTTTTTATCAATGGTGTTATCAATGGTGTTATAAAATACCATTGCACTCGCTGTCTTTAGAGCTTCTCTTCTGCTTTATTCTTTTAAATACCTGCTCAAACCCAGTGCAGGTTTGTGCAACACCCATCAATGCAAAGTCCAGCCACCTCCTACATGGATTCCCAGAGGGACCTGATCATTTTGCTTCTTTTTGGCGTTTTATAACATCAAACATGTTATGCTGACCATGTGTCAAGAGGACATGTTGTGCCTGTTTTAAATACCGATGACAATCACTAGATTTAAAATGCAGTGCAGTTTATCCCACCCCAGGATTCAAATGAATCCCTTCACTTTGATTGGTTGAGGGTTAATGGATAAAAGAGGAGCCTCACCCACAGTGGAATTCATGCAAAAACTGACACTGAAAACTACGGTTTGAAAGTTTGAGTTTATACAACATTTTGAGAGAGCAAATGCCCTAAATGAAAGTCACATTTTCTAAAGACCTTTCTGGGTTTTGTAGACAGTGACTGGCCATATTAATAACTTCTCCTTACTTGTTATGTCATTTGGACAAAAATAGATATTTCACATTTGATATTTCCTCCTATTTCAGAGAGATTTTAAAAACAGATGAACACAATGAACTGATAACATCAACAATAACACAAGGAAAACGAATCCTTTGCTACACTTTTACTCATACAAGTCTTGTACTGTGAGAGAACATCAATCACATTATGCATTCTGGAATGAAAACTATAAAATTTCTTTTTGATCTCTTTGATTTGCATTTTAATGATATTTAAAGCAATTTTCAAATACTGGTAAAACTGTTTGCTCTTTAAATACTCAAAACCATTTCTTATTATAATGTCTAAATTTGCCAAGCTTTAATATTTGAAGGACTGTTCTATAACCTCAAGGAGAACAAGGTATGAATACTGTATTAGCAAACAATAGTAAGCTTTTTGCAGAGAGAAGAAGTTGACATGTACGGTGCACAATCAAATAAATGGCAAGAATAATCTGTTCTTTCACAGAGCTTTTTTTTCCCCGTCTTTTACTGATTTGGACACGTTTTTGGCAAATTGGATTTTTATGTAAATGTGTGCATTTGAAAGGTATCTGCTTGCATGTGTCACTGGATTTGTCAGATGTGCATACATGGGATCAGATGTGATGACAGGTGGCAGAACCGATGGGATATCACACTCCAACCTGAAGTGAAGGGCTCTCAAACACACAGTTACGCCACCTGTCAACCCAAGGCTTAACCGTAAAGCGAGACAGATAATCTAACGAACTTGGACAACCAGAAGGTGTCCGAGCACGTTCCTTAATGTCATTTATGTGTGCGTGAGCTCTAAATTGCAGTGTAAGAGGACACACACTAATATAACTGCTGCAGAAGCCGCATTTCTCATTTCACAACATGAAGTCCAAAGAAAACACAAATCGTCTTTTCTTTCCAGATGTCAGAAAGAAAACATCTGTAGTGCTGCTAAAACTAGCCGACAGGCGCATCAGAGAACACTAGTGGTAAAGTGACAAGAATGCTACTTATATAAACTCACAATAATTAGCGGTACTTCTTTAACAGAAATTTTCTCACTATACTTCCACATGACGTCCTATTCCATCGTTCAGGCCAATAATAGCAGGGAAGTTTCACAACATTATTAAGCTTTAATTGCTGCTAAAATATGGATTAGTTATGAAGTCTCTACTAATCCATAACTTAGTAAAAATAACAATGTCACATCAAACTACAGTGCAGCATTTATAAAAGTTGCATCATATGAAAAAATATAGATATATTTTTATTTCTGCTTTATATAACATATACAGACATAAGAAAATGACATTACACTACAAACTAATTCTGTACAAAAAAAAAATCACACATTGTTAGATTAGTGTCCCTTTCATCTATTAAGCATACTAGTATTCAATGTACATTGTCTTATGTACACATATCTTTGATTTCTTTCACATAAATATTTTTGATATTTGTCTAAATATCATAAGGGCCATCTCTATGGGAGTCCTGTATTATGCATCTTGTAAGCCCCTCATGCCTTTCTTGGCCCTTCCACTCGAACTCATCTCGAGTTCATCAATTAACATCATTCACTGTAATTGCAGAGTTGGTTTTCACCAGTGGTCCTACCTGTTCTAGAATGGTCTGGAGTCTCTCAGGCTCAAGGTCGATCACATATTTCCTCTCCTGCCGTCGGTCCAGGTCTTCCAGGATCCTGCGGTACGATGCGTCGTTGAAACTCTCTACGCAGATTGCGCTCACCTGTTTTTACGCATATTCACACAGAGTATTCAGTAAAACATCAGCATCATAGGAGAGCGGGGTCAAATAAGAAAATCATGAGCAAATTTATAATGTGTAAGTAACTGAATGACTATGCAGAGTGTATGCTCTATGAGATCATTTTGCTTAAGAAGTGTGCTTTGTGGCAGGTTTCCAAGAATGTTTCTTTGTTTGCGTGTCTGTGTGTAGGCGTGCATGTGCATGGGTGGGTGTGTAGGTGTGTGTGGGTGTGTGTGTGTGCGTGTGCGCGTGTGTGTGTGTGTCCTGACCTGCCATGCATTCTGCCCCGCTTTCTCCATAATTGCCTGCAGTATTGCATAACCTAAACAACAGAGAGTTGGGAACAGAAGGAGAAAAGGAGAGAATTAATGCTGCTACATGGTAGATGCAGTAGTTTGGAAGCTGAGTAGATTAATTTTACAAACAATCCCGGCTTGTGATGTGAAATAAACAGCTACTTTTAAAAGGAGAACAACTTGCAAACCCTTTTTATTTCTTTAAGTAAATGGGGCTATTAAAAGAGGGGGAAAATGACAAAAGGAAACTTGAAAAACTAGTACTCGGCTACATCACATTTTATTAAACAAGTAACTAAAATTAGGCTCTCGCATTGGGGGAAAAAGAATAAAACTACATTCAAAATCTAACGAAGTAGATCTTTAGTTTTCTTATGTAAAGATTTACATATGATGACATAATGAAACTTATCATCTTATCCAGCATTTAATCAGTTCTAGCAGAACAGTCATCCTACTGTAGATTTACTGCTGTTTTTAGGTTCATTCTGTCATTTCTGACCTAGTTTAGGTCAGACAGGTGGACAAACAGAAGACATCAAGAGAAGTTCTGTGGCGGCAAGACAAGCCCAAATCATCACCAGTCAATCACTGTGTGAATGGCAAATGGTAAATGGCTTGTACTTATATAGCGTTTCGTCAAGTCCAGAGGACACCAAAGCACTTCACACTACAGTCAGTCATTCTCAGACACACACGCACACACACACACTTTGATAGTAGCAGGCTACTGGACAGTAACCAGAGCTGCCTTGGGGCAATCTGACAGAAGCAAGGCTGCCCTACACCGGCGCCACCGAGCCATCTAACCCCCACCAGCGGGCAAGGTGGGTGAAATGTTGCCCAAGGACACAACGACAGAAGCAGGTAGAGCTGTGATACAACCAGCAACCTGCTGATTGCAGGGCGAACTCCTAGCACTGCTACCATTGTGTGAAAGTTAATGCAAGGTGTATTGTTTTTTTTTTCAGGAATTGTGTATTATGGGAGCCCTTTGTTGAGCCTTTTGCAGCATTTTTTTTTATCTGTAAAGTCATTGACGCCTTTCCACCTTGGTGTAAAATACATCTGGATTTTTTTCTACCTGGAAAACTGTGTAGACAAGCCATCCCATTTGTAGATGTTCAATTATTTGTGCATTTTATAAAAATAGCAGTCGGCTGCTACTTTTTTTCTTCTTCTTAAATCCTAGAAGAAGTACTTTGGAGTTATTTAAAAGCACATATGTTTCATGTTTGCTTTCTTTTAGTATGCCTCATCTTAAATAAGATGAGGCATACTGTAAACATTGTTAGGCTTTTATAAGACCCAGCATTTTTTATGTGCTTGTGATAGGAAATTTAATTTAAAATGGTGTACTTTCTTTATATTAGTAAAAAAACAAACAGATATGGATCTTTAAGTGACTTAAGAGTAAACTAGTTCTCTCTTGGAGAAGAAAACAGTTTTAGCAAAACAATGTAGCAAAGCTTTGAATATGAAATATTAATTTTAAAAGAATGATATCCCAAAAATTCTTTTAAATTAATTAATGTTGTGGGCAGAATGCGGCTGGAAAAAGTCTTACATTAAAATAAATCTGTTATATTTTACTAGGATTATCATTATTGTCCTATTACTAAATTGCAAAGACCTGAAAAAGCATTCATATTCCTTCCTAACCACAAATTGTGATGTATTTTATGAATTTCTTTTAGATTTTTCAATTCTGGACCAGAATTGAGGATCATGTTTTATGTCCACACACCTGAATAAATGGTTGATTAACAGGGTTTCTGGACCAGAGACACATTTAAAATAGTCGTCTGGCTTAGATGCTTAGATATGAAAAAACAGTATAAATCATAGCATTTATTTGTACATACTTAATACTTTGTAAAACCTTTCGCTCTTAAGGTCACAACTAAAGGTTTTTAGAACACCCATGTCATTTCACACCTTTGGTTTTGACCAAAGCATATTTATGCAGTACAATGGACAAGTCAAAGTAAAGGCCCAAATCCAATTGCAAATCCATCCATCCATTTTCTCCATTTCCTTGTTGGGAGGTCCCTATCCCCAGCTAATGTTCTGGGCGAGAGGTGGGGTTCACCCTGGAAAAGGTCGCCAGTCTGTCACAGGGACAGACAGGACAAACAACCATGGACACACTCACATCAGAGACCAATTAACCTGACAGTCATGTCTTTGGACTGTGTGAGGAAGCCAGAGTACCCAGAGAGAACCCACACATGCACAGGGAAAACATGCAAACGCCGTGAAGAAAGACCCCGGGCCGGGAATCGAACCCAGGATCTTCTTGCTGCAAGGCAACAGTGCTACCAACTGCACCACTGTGCAACCCCCATTGCAAAACTGGAAAATTGATGTTCATTCAAATGTGTCTGAGCTTGTGTTACTTTACATAGTCAAATATGATAACAGTCTCTGAATGCGAGAAGCTCAAGGAGACAAACCTAAATCAAATGGCTGAACTACTTTATGAGAATGCAATCAAGTTCTACAAAGCCTGCCGATGACCTAATTATTTGATGCAGGTGTAATGAAGCAGAACCACATCTAAAAGTTGCAAGGCAGCAGTTCTCAATGACTGGAGATAGCAAAGCCTTATCTAAACCTTTCAATTATAGCTTTATCTGTATTTTTACGGTCACTGAGGATGAATCTCTATGACCATGTCTATTGTTTCTAGACTCTATCCATCTTCCCATCAATTACAACAATGTTCTTTGTCCCTGATGAAGAAAGGCATTCCCACAGCATAAAGCTGCCACTACCATGTGTTGGTATGGGAGTAGATTATTATGCATGATGTGCAGCGTTAGTTTTCTGCCAAACTAGTAACAAGACAAACGTCCATATTGCAATAAGATGCATCTTATTCTTGCCAGGCTTCCTTAAATGTCAAATTTATGGAAAGTTTTCATTATGCTGTGTGCTCATTTATGAGGCTCTGAAATTAAATTAAAGTACAAACTGTTGAACTGTATTTATTGTGTAGGTGGCTTCTGATGGCTGCCTTTTGTGCTAAATATTATTTAATGGCATCATAGTAAAGAAGACTGAGTACAAGTCCTTTGAACTATTTTTTTAAATCATGCATCATCTTCCTTTGACCTCACAGAGACAGGTTCTTTCTCTTGGTCTGTCACATAAAAAGCTTTTTTCTCAAGTTTCTAGATGTAATCTGACAAAATACTTAAGCTCTATGGAAGCTTTTTCAAGGTGCTTTATCCTGATAGTTTTGCACTGAAAAAGACTTAGAAAAGAAGCTAAACATTTAAGTCAAAGTAAACTTCACATAAAATGAATAAAACTTTGGCATTTAATCTTCCAACATAAATAGAAGCACGCAAGACAAAATGAATTTCAGTCTAGTGCCTTATCTCCATGGCCTCCACTGTGATGCTAAAAACACATTTTCTTGTCATAAAATAAATGCGAGTGTGCTCAGAGCCACATTTTATGCTATAAATATTTTGCATGCATAGATGCTGTCTTTGGACTACATGCATCCATTTTTGATGTGTGTCTGCATTTAAGTGTGAGCATTGCATTTGTCTTTGCATGCAATTATGTGAGTACATGGATATTTGTGTGAGAATGCATGTGTCAGCAGGCTATCGGTGGAGCAGAGCAGGGGGCATAAAACAGATAACAGCATTACTGCCCATTTTCCAGCACATTACCAGTAGCAGGGCCTGATGGGAGCCTATAATGAAGAGTCCTGCCTTGGCCGAGTCATGGGTGAGTACAGTCCAAACTCTGTGCCTCTATCCTTTTCTCAGTTTCTCCCTCCTTTCCCTGTTTTCCCTGCTCCCTTCCTCCTACAGTGCATCCCCTGAGGCTTGTGATCCTGTCTGTCCTAGTACTCCTCTTGTTTGCCCTTTCTGTTATCTCTCTCCTGCCTCCCCTCTCGAGCCACACATCCACCTCTACCTTCTCCTCATCTCCGTCACCTTGTGTATCTCCTCCCATGACCCATGTATTTTCCAACGTTTTGGCTGCCTCACCAACTTGATTCATTCCCTCCTTCTTTCCTCTTTCTGTAGCTACTCCCCTGGGTACTAACCCTGACAACCTGGACCACATGGAAGTTGGCAGAGGCACAGACAGGGTCCACACATCTTTACACACTGTACAGCTCTCTAGTACTCCTAGCTCACAACCACACAGTGGTCTGTGGGGACTTTGCATCATATTTGACCTGTGTTTCACTCCTCATGGCAGGGAATTTGTCTGCGTGTGCATGCATGTGTGCAAAAAAGAGGAAAAAAAGTGTTCCAAGGATACCCATGACAATGGCTTATGGCCAGGGGCCTAATCTGTTCCCGCACCACTAACTTACTCATACTTCATGACTGCATGGTAAATTAAAGGCAGGTGAACGCTTGAGGAATTGGAGCCAGCCTCTTGCTTCTCGCTGAAATGAGACAAATTACAGCCTTTTCTTATGTAGCTTTAGTCAAGCCAATTTATATCTATTGGCACAAACTCTCTCCTTTTATGGAATTTGACTTTAACGCAGATTAACACTGAGAGCTTAATACAATTTTCACTTGAAGCAGTTGATAAACAGAAATTGTTTTCAGTTTTCAAAACCAAAGGAATAGCCAATTTGTGGACTCACACAAATAAATTCCCAAATGAATACTGGAATCTGTTTCAATTTCCCACAGCTGAGTATTTAACTAGGGGCAGAGTCATGGAGCAGAAGAACTATTCAGATCCAGTAATCACAGAAGTGCTTACAATTAAGCACTGAAATAATTTGGAGGCTTTTAAATTATAGAGTTGCTTAAAGGTTTTATACTTCCCATTAACAAAACGATCTCTCAAACAATATGCTAATATAATTTGGATAATGAACAAAAGTTCCAATCTACAACAAAATGGTAAAACATGACACTTTACTATGAATTGCTACATTAAAATAACAAACTGTGATGTATATGAATTGCATATTCTTACTTTTGCACACTTTACCCATTATGCCCAACACAACATATAACTCAATATTTTTTTTAATAAATCAAAATCTGGAAAGTGCAGATACATTTCCTACTCTGATACTCCAAAATAAACTTTAATGCCACCACTTACTTTCAAAAGTCCCTTAATTTACATTTGTACAACAGACATATTACAGCCATGCAAAACTTTCCTTCTATTTCAAAATTATGAATTATTTTTTTTAATCTGCTCTTAAAAAAAAGTACCTTTAATTTTGTGACAAAATAAACATAAAGGTAAGTAAAGGTTAAACCTTTTCGCTATAATTCATTGTGTTTGCAAAATGTAACTAATGCTGTACAAGCAAGTGATGGTACCACACCAAAATGTGCAATGGACTTTAAAGATATCAAGCATTTAATCTGATACATCCCTCAAAAATGCAGGTCTGTTTCTAAAAGTAATGAAAACACTGAGCAATAAATTGAAAAATCTCTGTGTGACACCTTGTTAGATATACTTGTCGGTGTGTATTTACCTCTGTCTGTGTCGTATAAGAAGACGAATCGGTTCCAGTCATAGTGGTCGAGCAGGGACAGCAGAGCTCCTCTGATGGACGGCCTCAGCTGCAGCGTGAACTGTCCCTCGCCCTCGGTGGGAAAGCTGGGCGTCACCAGGCTGATGTGCAGGGCTCCACAAAACGACGTCAACGTGTTCACCGACCGCTTGTCGTAAAGGCCAAAGATGGCAAAGACCCCCCTCGAATACTGTGAACAAACTAATGTGGTGAAGGACGAGAAGAAAGGGGGGAACGGGAAAGAATATGGGGATCAAAATGGAAAATTGGATGAAATTGGAAAAGAAGAAGAGAACATTAAGGAAACTAAAATTGAAAGTTTACTGGGTGACACAAATTAAAGAAGAAAAAAAGAAATACTTTTTAAAAACTTCTTTTGATTTTGTAAATGAGTTCTGCAGAAAAAAAGACCAAGAGGGGGAGAATTCAGAACACATGGGTCTTAATTAAATTCGCGCTGTGGAATATGTTTAAATATGCCAACCATTTTAATGAGCTACCACTTCAGCTTGTGTCAGCCCTACACTACCTCCTCTTTCCTAATTAGACCCACAAACTGCATATTTTGAAAAGTGTATGTGCCCGAAATTCAAAAGTACCTTTTTAACCTCGACAGAAGTTGAAATGGCATCAATCAAATCTGGCTCAGACATAGATAAAACAGATTTATGCCACCATAAGGAAAATCTCATCTGCCTCACAACATCATGTACAAAAACCGAAATAAAAATAAAAAACCTCACAGCTCAAACATTTTCACACGCATGTGTTCAAATCTAAGACGCTCACAAGCCAACACATTTCAGGCTTTGATTAAAATAAAAAAGCTACCCTCATCAACAAGAACTAACTGACTTAGCTGCATCTGCAGTCATTAAAGAAATTAGAGTCAAATATCTAACCCTGCTTGAAGCTAAATGCCCTTAGGATCTATCGTTGAACATAAGCAGACTTGAAGATGCAAGTCCCTTGACACAACCACAAGCAAGTTTCAAAGTTTGGATCATTTGGCAGGACTGCACCAGCAAAGAAAATAGGACAACAAAACAATTAAAAACATTTGACTTAATGAAAAAGGTTGGCCTTTTAAATTACAACTGTAAAATCTGGAACGTGTTTTTATTTGACTCTAAGTCTGAAATGTGCCTGCTTTTTAATTTCCATAATATTATTTTCTACTACTATCATAAATGGCCGCATTGATCAGTTCCGGCAGATATTTTATTATTTTTTGTTGCTGAACTACGACTTGGTCCTGCATTATAATTTACTCGCTTCCCAGTGATATGTCATCAAGGACTAAACGCGAAGACAGAAAGACTGCAGGCTGTGCTTTAAGCAACAACTGCACGACTCCAAAAGCTCCTTTTTTTCATTTTCTTTTTTAATCTTTTTGTACATTGCATCATCTACAGCCCTAGATCCTTTCTTCTGTTTTTAAGGCAGACTCCCTTCATCCTCTCTTTCAGCTTCCACCATCCACTCTCTCATCTCTTCTCTCCTGCCCTCCCTCCCTTCTCCTCCTCCTGGGACTGAGAGTAATTCCATTATCAGCTATAAGCCTCAGTGGGGGTAAACACTGAGGGAAATGCTGCTTTGACGGTTCGGCTTGTGGCAATTAAACAAAGCCATGGCCTCTGCACCCGGCCGGCGATAAGGCGGGGATTTAGTCTTAGATTATGACAGGAGCTAAATGTCTTCAATTCAGAGAACTTGCATATGAGCTGTACTCAGCATGCGTCATTCAGCTGCTGCTGAGTCATGCCATCCTAAGTGACTTTCATGTTGGCTTTTACAAAGACTGCATGTTTCTTAATGTTTCTGAGCATGACAGACGGGTGAACCGATGAGACTGAAAGGTGTTAATTTTTCACAGATATAGTGATTTACTTCAGTCTTATTAGAGGAAATAAATTATAATACGGCGATTAAAAAAAAAAAAATCTAAATTTAAAATTCAAAGGATTAATGCTGACAACCAGCAGGGATGTCTAATTATACTAAAGCAGTTGGGAAATAGTCACCTAATGAAAAGCGCGGTCTACTAGAAATGAACATCATTTGAAAACAAAAGATTATCAATATACACACATCAGCCACTTTATTAGATAAAATGGGTTAAGACATTTAACTATTCAGTCACATCACAGCAAGAACAAAACTCCTGCTGTGTTCAAATTACAAATCTAAATTGCATAGCCTTTGAACAATCACCACTTTTCAGTGTCCATCAGAATAAATATGTAGATTATTTTTTTCTTGACTATTCCCTTTCTTTTGCAGCTCACTTTAGATGTTGGTGAAAGAGCTTAAGTTGTAACTTCTTTCTTGAAAAAAGTCCTCTGTCTTTTAAATCCAACAAGGGGTTTGTCGCTGCTTGTTCTGGGTGTCCTGGATTATGATGATTTCATTTGTACGCTCTCTTCTTCTCCAAGTCATGCTTTGGAGACTGTTTACCACAGGTGGAGGGATTTATTATACACTTTAAAAACTCACACGCCATTGTTTGTGATAGGGTTCTGTTTGATGGTCCGACTTAAAAAAGTAAAAAATAAAGTAAAGCATTGGTATGTTAATCCACAAGTCTATTTTGGAACATTTGTCTTAATATTTCAGGTCTTCATTTATAAGAAAATTATGGTGGTTGCAGCATTTGGTCCCAGAATATAGTTGTTTTCTCATTACTTAAAACCCTAATTCTCCCATGTCAGCCATTCAGAAGTGCCTTAACACCTTCTTCTGAAATGCGTCGCCTATTTTGTTCTCAACTGAGCCTCTCTGTCTCCCCCAGCTCCTCCAGACCAGCGGTAATGGCAATTAGCAAACATCTGGTGGAAATGCGAGTCTGCTGAGATTTTTATGCAAGCTACTTCTCAGTTCAGTGTTTTTGAAAAAAAAAAAAAAAAAGCCTTCATCAAGAAGTAAACAGCATCAACAAATGACATGGAGAAGCATTATTGTGATGACATGCTAAGAAGAGGGAGTGTCAGAAGGGGCAGAATGTTCTTAAAGAGACAGAGTTCAATTTCAAGGAGTCAAATACAGCTATAAATCAAAATTTCATTTAAGTTCTTCTTGATATAGTATTTTTATAACAACTAAAAGTAAGTGACTTGATTGTGCTATAAAATGGCAGTATTGGCCTGACCATTTAAAGGCAGGAAACAAAGGCGACAGTTCAAATAACCTCACCAAAAGTGGAGTACACAGACAGAAAATAATGTTGTCTTGTCCACTGAGATGAAATTGCATGTGAAGTAATCAGAGTTTAATCTTAGAACATCAACAGGTTTTAAACATTTCATTCTAGAAAGAAAATACATTGGGTCTGTCTAATCTACTGCAAAACTGATTGTTTTTTTCCCCTATGTTTAAACAACTTACTGCATCCAACATAGCAAGTAAAAGAACTCTACTGAAAATTTAAAAAATTGTTTCCTCATAACGTGCTTCCTCTTAATATATGCAGTGCAGAGACACTCCTCAAAACTGCAAGAACAATATCTTACTTTATCAGTTCGGAAATAAATCTGAGATGACATTTTTTAAATCAACACAAGTTCAGTGAATGCCTGTCTTCAGCAATCACTGAACTATTGCTGTGTTAGATTTGTCCCTGAATTTGGAGCTCTGAGCTGGAAATGATGCCATGTCCAATATGAGACAATTTATTTGCAAGCCAAAAAACAGTGAGATCTGACATTCACATGTATTATCAGCATATCCCAATAACAGTTTTTTTTCCTTTTATTGATTTCAAACACAAAAGGAACATGTTCATAGGTTGATACATTACAGTGCCACAGATGGAGTCCAACTCCTGTCAGCTCACATAACAAAATTATGATAACTTTGGTCGAAGGAGAGTGAAGGGCCTAGGCAAGTAGGGCTGAGAAATTTCTTTGGATTAGCACAAGTGTCCTTCACAAAAATCAACCAAAGGGCCATCATGGTCAAAATAAATTATGTATAATATACGGTATTGGTTAAATTACAAAAGCCACAGGCCTGATCTGATCTGTTGCCTCCCTGCAGACCCAGATTGCAAATGCCAAATCATCCAAAGTTTTGAAATCGGGGAACATTTCTCCAATTGAAGTGATCAGAAGTACTGAACAGTATTCTCTCTGCCATCGGGAGGTCATAAGAACTCACAGATTCTACATGACGGGTTTCTAGTTGGTGGGACTTTGTGAATTAGACAGATGCATGTTTTGAGAGAGCTGCCACCCTGCAGCGCCTTAATGAATCAGCATGTGACTGAATATTACTGTATATTAAGGCTGTTATTAGAAAAAAGATTGCATCATCCTCTGTTCTTAAAGTTCTGCAGTTGGTATATGTCATCATTCACTCAGCCACCATTTGAAAAAAAAATAAAAAAAGAATTGTGAATTTTTATTAATCAGAAAAGAAAAGAACTTCATTCCACTGACTCAAAAAAATAAAAAGTTTGACTTGAATTCCTTTGACCTTGATCCAATTAATAACTAATGTCTTAAACCGTTTGTTTTATCAGCCCCCGGGTCTCCATTAAAGCTATCTCTGACAGCCTAAACCCCACTCCTCATTTTTAAAATCACACCAAAACCGCAGAGCCTGCAGCCTAAACAACTAAACAAAAGACAGTCTTTCCTTAGGTCTTTTTGAATCACCTCCACTTTTCTTAACTCCCATTTGCTTTTAATCTTGGCTTTGCATTCCAAACACTCTCATCCCTTTTTTCACTTCCACCATTTCCCCTTATGATCCATGTCTCTATGGGACTGTCACTTTACAACCCCCTCTACTAACACCAGGCTGCCGCAAGGCTGGAATGTGCCAGACAGTGGCGTCATTATAATAAAACGTGCACTAAGCTTGGTTCATAAAGCTTTAATGAGAGAAGGGGACCAGCGGCATGGTGCATCATCACTACAGTAAAAACTCTGGACAAAATGGGTCTCATGGGACTTTCTTCTGCCTTTTGTAGTCTCATACTTGCTTTTTCTTGCTGCATCATGTGTACGGTGATCTTTTTTTTTTTTTAGGTGATCCTGTTTGTTCATTCTTTCTGTCAAGCAGTTAAAAAGGTAGCATGCATTCTTTACATATATGATTGCACAATAATCGTGTGTTCAGAACTCAGGTCTTTGTTTATTGTGAAATTTTTCAACATGTTTCCACATTACAGAGCAATAATTTAACTGTGATTGTTGATC